ACTTGCAGCTCCTAATGTGAGAGATCATGCTCTGGTCATTATATGTGCAGATGGAACATATCATAAGTGAGTCTCGAAGCCATTCATTGAATATTACATTCAATCCATTATTTATAGATTTACATTCAATTTAGATGGTCATGTGAATCGGGTTACATTTGATTACATCATGCTTTTAGCTGATGAACAAGAGTTTTGGTCAAAGCCTTTATAATTTTTTTCCCTGGTCAGATGGTACTGCTGTGATTTTTGTGTTTTGCCTCTTTCTTAGTATTAATTTGATGTTTCAAACATCCTGTACATGACACATCTTGTTCCATACACTCCTGTGTTGCCCAACTTGGTTGGCTGGGTTCATTCATTGCCTTTTTTGTACATATTATCATTTCGTATAGTTTCTTTTCATATAGTTGTGTGCCTTACCGTTTTCTCGAATTGATAAAAAAGTTTTAAATGTATGGGAATCTTTGTTCATTTTTTAGAAAACTTATCAGACCTCAAGTTTTGAAACCTTCTGAGAATTACGACTTTTAATCGTCGTCAACATAATCTTTGCAGAGCCTAGGGGCAGCTCTCAGTACATTTGAAATAAAAACAATTCCTGGTTCGTGAAAAAATGAAAGATTAAAATATGGTGGTATAGTTAACCGCCTAAACTAAAAGTTTCAAAATTTATGTTATAGTTAACCGCCTAAATGTATGATAACATATTAATCCGTGGGTAGTTAGTTAGTTAGGTAGTGAGTATAATTTTCAATAAGTATATTTTGCGCTTTTAAAATGTAAACTTTAGTGTTTCAGATGTTTCTCTTCACCTTTGTGCCTCTTTTTTTTCTTATTGGGTTGGCTAAGGGAGAGAATAACTCTCTTGAATTCCTCAGAGAGAGCCCTCTGAGAGATGATGGTTTTTCTTTCTGTTTTTTTTCTCAAAATTTCATGAAGTTGTGTTTCAGACAGATCAGGTCTGCTGATCTTGGCTAATCACAAAATCGTAAGAGCAGACGTAATATATGTGAAAAATACCACATATGTGAAGTTCACATGCGTGAGTATCTATGATCTTCTTTTGTAATTTTCTCTACAATTTTCAGATTAGTTTGCTTTTTGAGCAACCGAAGATGGTGGTGGTGGGAGGGGTCCATCACATTCAACAAAATTTTCCCTTCTTCACAGGGTCGGAAGGTTACCCAGTAAATTCAGTTTTTAAAAAACAGACTCATACTTTTTCCACAGGCTGTAGGAACAAGCTCGGAGGAGATTTCCATGGGAGGAAGCGTGCTATGCTACCACTCCACTTTCAACCGTAAGTGAAAGTTATCAAATTTTCAATAACTTTGTTTAGAAACTCTCAAAGTAGAGAAACGTTTGGTTGTCCAAAAACATCCCGAGAATTACTCCAATTATGATATATTTATAATTAGTATCTTCCCCATCCTTTTACTTTTAATTATTATCGTTACTATTGTAATTTGCAATGCTAGCGAGCGGGAGGATAGGTTAAAAAAGAATTTGAAGTTGAACAACCTCACTAGAGAAACAACAGTGTAAGCATTTAGCATTTAATAGTTTATTCTCAATTTTAAAAAATTTAATCTGTAATTATACGTACGTAATAAATAGTTGGGCTCTTATGCGTTATTTCCCTCACCGGCTCCGCCTCTTTTGCCGTTTGCGCATGGTCTTGGTTTTTGTAGGAATAAGGCTTAAGAGGAACCATACATGTGTTCTCGCTCGAGGGCTATGATCGTGTAGCAAAGAAGTCTTTTCTCCAACAAGTGGCTAAAACTATTGGTAAGAATGAGAAACGGAGCTGTGCTCAAATTCCACTGGAACCGCAAGTTCTAGCGTGTGGATTCATTGAAGGTTTGTGTCTTGGAAATTTTTGATTGAAAATGAACAACTTGCAGCTCCTAATGTGAGAGATCATGCTCTGGTCATTATATGTGCAGATGGAACATATCATAAGTGAGTCTCGAAGCCATTCATTGAATA